CATGAAACTGCATTCTATAGAGTGCTTGCTTTACTAGCGAGGGGGCAGAGGGGAGGGAAAGGCACAGGGGGAAAGAGGAAGGGGGATTAGCTCCAGTCGAATGCAATAACATTTTGTCTCCACCAGTTCCAGTACCATAGGCTTTCCACAGCTGTACAGCCACAACATCACATGTTGGCCTGGGAGTTTAGTCTGTGTCCTCTCTTAAGGGATGATAAATAATTTCTTTCTTTCTTCAGTGCGAGCTCTTCCCTACAGACCTATGGGCAAGTCTTGTTTTACTTTTAGCCCTTTATCTAGTAGTCCCCCTTCCTTCTGTTCTTTCTGTTGTGCAGGTGCCAGATGCTTCACCTCATTCTAGAACCTCGATAACCTCTATCAATACCCCCATTTCTTCCTTGGCTTCCCAATGGCAACTGCCCTTGAAGCAGCACAGCTTTTCCAGCAGGAACTTCCGTCACAGCTACCCACACCCACACACCAGAAACTAATGGAGCTAAGATACTCGTGCAGGGCTGCTGTTCAGCAGACTGGCTCCTGGGCATGCTGGCAATTACAGTACATAATCAAATTAACTCCAGCTGTGAGACAGGAGCTGTCTGCCATTTTACAGCCCCTGTGTAATGAGCTTGCTGTGGCTTAGGCAACCGACTTTGAAAAGCAGCACATCTCACATCACATATAGCTCAGCTAGGGATGCACTGGGAACGTGAGTCTACTGGAACAGACCTCCCTTCTCTCCTGCTACAGTCAGTAGCATGGGAAGCTCAGTCTACCATTGACTACCCCTTCACTGCTCTTTGGTAAAACAGAGGACTTAATTTTCCAGAGCAGTGTTTAATTTTTACCTTGCAAATCACCAGAAGTAATAAAAGAATCGTCTCCTGTCACCAGGATGGCCTCTGTGCTTATCTTCAAGTCTTTTCTGAAAACACTTACCCTCAGCTTGAATATCCTGGAAGATAAGGGGAGAGGTAGAGTAAGGTTCAGGACTCCAGCCGATGGTTCTGTGTCTACTCCCCCAGGACACAGGCCAAGTCTCCCACTAAGAAAATTCTGACACTGTCATCGAGAGAGTCTTCATCTCTCTAGCTTTTGCTACAGTGTTCAAATCACTTTGAACAAAGCATGGTCTTGGTTTATGTACATACTTTATGTACAAATAGGTAGAATACCGCACCTCTGGTATGCTTGGAACTTTAGTTCTCCATACTTTTCAGATCTTCTGTACCACTTTTTTGTCCTTTGATGATTGCTTTCTAAAGCTTCTTCACTGTAATATGCTTTCTCAATGGTATTTTATGAATGATCTTAAGTAATTCAAGTTATTTACTAAAAAGAAGAGGAAGGTATGTACAAGTGAATACAGTTCTCTTGTATGTCAGCACTTAGTAAGCGTCTTGAGTTTGGCTCACACAAATGCTTCAGTTGCCTTCTCAAGGCAAGAGAGTTGGCATGGGTGTACTTTCTCATACTTACACTTCTTGCAGCATTGTCATTCCAGCACAGTTCCCAAGAAGCACAGATGACACCCTGCGCCACCAGCATCTCTAGTATGTTTATGAAGTAAACATGAATTATGGAGGGTTTATGCCATTAACTATGGCATCAGATCAGTTACACAGACTTCCAAAGTCAGTGAAAGCCTCCAAAACAGTTAGGAACTGTTTCCCTCCACTGATTATAAAGCTAGGCTTCTAGTGTAGACATACTAGGCTGGCCTTTTAAGAGCTAGATGCTGTGAAAGTTCCTCTGTTCTAACAGCACAGACCACTCATTCCGAGCTATGCGATACCAGGTGAAACTTGAATCTTGCACAACTTTTGGAGATGTTTTTCCATGTTTGGACAGAACTGTTAGGTGACTCGATTAGCTAGCCCCAGTGGAGTCTTTCTTCCTTTGCAAAACAAGCAGCAGCTGACATACTCAGTAAGAGCTACTCTTCACATTGCTATAGCTTTCAGAGATCAGACAAACTTTCTTACCTGAACTACCAACTTGAGAGGCTACGACAGCAACACTGAATAACACTAAACCAAAATACTGAGGGACAAACATGGTAGGGCAAGCAGCTTACTCTGCTGCATTGTGGTAACTAGATCTTTCCTTGGAGGGCGCTGTTAAATTGGAAACAGGCACGTGCTCAGGATCTTGCTTGCATGCTCGTTAGCATCAAACATTCTCCATCTGCAGGCCAGGTATAGTTTCATGTGTGAGCTTGAAATTGCTGGGAGATTACCATTAGCTGCAGTGCCTTGAATGCTAGAACACACCTGCCTTTTGCTGCTCAGTTAGGATTATTCCGCCTCCTTTGAATGCAATTACTTTGCTTTTCTCATCACAGAACTTGCATGCTTCACTTGGTTTCATTTTAAGGAACAGAAAGGTTGGGACTGGTCTGGAAGTTGTTCTTCCCTTGCTGAGACTCCCAACAGGTTTGCGGAGTCAGTAAGGTTAATGAGCTGAGGCAGGCATAAGCAATATTAAAATCACTTTTTTGGTTTGTTTTTGATTCATTTAACAGACATTATTTTTTTTAAAAACACCTGAATGATTTTGGTAACATTCGTTAGAACTACCTTGAGGACTCTAGCCTGCAAAAGTTCAGTGAATGAGGATTTCTTAAAAGCAGGGAACTCACATTTGCTGTTTGAAAAAAAATGCCCTATGCAAACCCAATTTCTGTCCTATGTAAACCTGAGTTGATCAGTATATTTATGTTTTACTGTGTGCTTTACATGTTACAGCAGTTGATTACAGCAGTAATTAACCACAGAGATGCAACCTGCTTACACCAGTAGTGGACATTCCAAGGTTCTGCTAAAGTTGGGTCACATTGTCTCTATCCTGAGTTTATTTGGAACTGGGGAATAGAAGGCAGCTGTTTAGCTTTGTCTCCACCTATGCTGTGTGGATTTTTTTTTTTTTTTTGATAGCCCGTAGAAATCTTCGCACCAGGCAAAAAACAAACCAAACCAAACCAAAAAACCCACAACCCCAAAATCAGAATTTGTCCGATCATTTCCGTGCACTGGATTTAATAAAGACTGGACAGATATCATAGCCACTGACCGGCTGTCAAGGTTTGAGTGATCGGCTGCTACCGTGTCAGGAACATGCAGGGAGTCAGTGCAGCCGTCTAGTGGAACTAGAGGGAAATGCAGTTCAGTTAAAAACTTTGTGGGGAAAGAGCCTTCATCCTAAAGTAAATATGATTTTCAGATGCAGTAAACATCATAATGAGATAATAAGAGGCTCCAGTTTGATTGGTTGGTTGTTGTTTTTTCCCCCCCATGATGGTCAAAAAGGTTCTTTTATTAGAATAATTGTCTCCCTAGATGATAAAATACTATCCCTTTGGCGTCAAATCTCTACGTAGGTTGTTGATGCAATAGTTTGGGTCACAGGCATGACTTTTTCGACTTTTCCAAACTCCTTAAATAGTAGACCAGGAGATGGCAATGTTCCTCATGCTTATAAAGGACTGTGTGGTGCTGTAAATAGAGCCTGCCCTGGCTGGAGGGGAAATCTCATAACCCCTTTCGGGATGCTACATACCTGCTGAGGACAAGGAAAGATGCTCTCCTTAAAGCTACAAATGGACAGGTGAGTTGTGCTGGAGCTTCATGTTTCCATGCAATTACTGCAGAGGAGGTCCAGACACAAGAATAGGGACAGCTGTAGGTTACATCTAGTAGGAGTGATTCACTTGTCCTCATGCTTAACGATCGATGGTCTGAATTGGGAAAGACAAAGCAGAGCAGGTCTGGGGGTATCACTGCTCTTTTCTTTTCTCTCTCTGTATCAGAGGTGAACATCTAAAGGATTAAAAGCAAGGAGGCACTGAATTCTAGCCAGACCCACTGAAATATTACAGTTAGCTGCTCCTAAGTGTAGCAGTCTGGAAATCTGTTCTTTCTGTTTGCATTCCTACTCTGTGTTCTTGAACAAATGACTCAAGCCTTTCTGGACCTCAGCTTCACCATGAAAACAAAAACTAACTTTTACACTGAGGTTGATGTCAGTGTGATCCAGTCAGCCTCAGGCAACTCTCCACAGCAATCAAAGCAGCTTTTTAGAATATAGACGGTTTGTCCACAGGGATCCTCCTGCAGTGTGGGAAGTCTCAACCCTGATGAAAAAGACCTGAAGAGTTTCACTTTCTGTAACAATGCAGGCTGTAGGAAACACATGGGGGAAAAAAAAAAAAAAATCTTCAGGCAACTGAGAAAAACACATCTCTGAAGATGGAAAAAACCCTATTAATGAAAGTAACAGAATTTTTTCCTCTTGGCATCACAAAAGCCATCTTTGGTGGGTAATGCTAAGGCCATGTTGCTCCAGAGATGACTGCAGAAACACAAATTATAATTTGGATATGACAAAGTGACAGATCATTTGCACCAATCTTGATCATGTTAGTTCTCAACACGTTCTTAAAATGATGCCAAAGCACAGCCAATGGCTGTTTCTAATCTACTTCAAGGAAATTATGGATTGCTAGGTAAAATTACTGGCCTGAAATTGGTAGAGCTTTGGACTACCCTGATCTATCAGAAGCTAAACAAAAATGATTCTGACTTGCACTTGAAAGTCATGACTTTTACAAGTACCTATGCATTTTCTCTTATAGAAGCTGTGCTGGTAGCTCAGTATGTAGCCTTTTCCAGGGAGTGAAGAGTATTATGTTGCATGGTATCTACCAACATGAGACAAGATACAAGAATTCACCACTTGTCCTACAGGATCCTAAGTCAATTTTGCAGTGGCAGGCTGTTCAAACTCTGACAACTGCAATCTACTGACATTCTCTTATGCTGGTTAATTTTGACACATCTGGAGTAACACAGTATTTCAGTGTATTTCTGGGAGCTGTGCGCTACTGAAAGTACAAAGGGACACCTGTAAGGCATTTTGATACTTCATCTTTGAGAGTAAGTTACATGGTTTAACATATAGCTGAATAAATTAGTTTTCCAGGGACTGCTGAAACAAAGCAATTAACTGTAAACTGGCTTTTATTTATGGAAAATGGAATGCTTCATTAACAAACATTTTAAATGGGATATGAACAACACATTACAAAACAAATGAGTTCACATTGGATTAAGTGACATAATATGGCAGCAGCTTAAAAAAAACAAAAATTACACTTACAGTAGCCCGTAAGTTACAATTAATGGTAACCCTGGGTAACAGATTCATTTCAGTTGCCACCTTGCATTAAAAATTAAAACACATTCAGTAGCGACGGTTGAAACGAGGATCATTAGGTCTGTTTGCTCTCTCCTGGCCAGCAAATCCTTCTCCTTGCATTCCTCCTCCATGCATCATCTGACTTTGGTTGCCACCTTGCATGAAACCTCCACGCCTAGAAAGTGATTCAGACATTTTAATTTTCTCTTGTGACTCTGGTAGTCAGGTTGATATAATGGGTGTTCTTTTAAAACTTTTTGTGTGATTTTTTACTCTTTGATAAGATGCACTACATAAAAACCATGGGAATATTTTATTATTCCCTGACATTTAAATAACAAAACAGATAACGGATGCTCCCATAAATTGTTTCTTTGGCCAATTTAAATAGAAGAGATGCCCCTTAACAAGAGAAACACTTTGCTCTTTTTAAGTTCTTACCCTGACATGCCTCCACGATGCATCACATGGCCAGGTCTGCCTCTACCTCCACCTAAAAAAGTTCAAATGCTTCCTTTATATCCACAGTAATAGTTTTACTTCATCTCCAAGGATAATAATGCCTGTATTTTCTGCTTTACGTAGCACGACTGATGAGCTGTTGTGCAAGAAGCATACCTTGCCATCTCTCATGATCCCGTCCTATCATTCCTCCATCCACACTGCTCTGCCATGAACGATCTTGATGTCCTTCAAACTTTCGACCATGATCTCCCCAGTCACGTCCATCCCTGCAAAAGTATGAAATTCATACCTTCTCACATTAGCTGGAGCACACAAAATAGATTCAAGAAAAACAATTAAGTCTCAAACTTACTCAAATGCTTTACTAAGGTACATGCAAATCTTGTATTTATATTGCTATCTGTTACATCAAATCTCAGTAATAAGCCTTCTGTTCAATCCAACTAACATGAGAAATAAGAAAATAAGATTTTCTTAATCTGGTTTATGCTACATTGATGTCCCAGTTTACTCCGAACATCCTAGCTTGTTTTGACCAGTCAGTTTATTTTTGGTGTTTTCTGTAGGCTGGCTTACTCATAGGACTTCTTAAAAAAACAAAAACACAACACAAAACCTCAAAACACCCCCCCTGCCCCCCAATCTGTAAGCATTTTATTAACTTGTTCTCCTTTCAAAGGGCTGACAGGATGGTGCTTCCAACAACTACAAACTGGGGAAGAACCACTACCCTGAAAATATCAAGCTTTGATAGGAATGTTAGGTAAAATTAATTGAAATCATGAAGACTTTCAGATGTGAAGTTATTAAAAAAAATCATGCCAAGATGCATGTTTTGATGCACAAGGCAAGCTGAAAGAGCTACTCATTTGTAGTTCATCCAACAGAGAACAGACTCGGGGGTGAAAGTTGAAAAAAAAGAATTGTACTTCCAAAAACTGTGTCCCACTTTCACATATGGAAATATTCCTTAGATGCACAAGAAAAAATACTTTCAGTTAAGTGTACTAACCGTGACTGTGGGGGTATCCCTCTACTTTCACTCATTCTTCTGTCAGATCCATAGCTACCCCAACTTTCCCGAGAGTCTCGTGAATGACGGTCTGGTCCTCCGTGGCGTTCGTCTGGATAATGCTAAAAGGCAAAGAACACTTACAGGACTGCCCAAAACAGACTCTTTAATTGTTTAAAGTTGCTCAGCTGTAATTACTCAATCTCAGAATCATTTAGGATGGAAGGGACCTCCTGAGATCATCTAGTCCAACCCCCCTGCTCAAGCAGGGTCAGCCAGGGCAGGCTGTCCAGAACAGTCTCCCATCGGGTTTTGAGCATCTTCACAGCTGGAGACTTCACAACTTCCCCGTGCAACCTGTTCCAGTGTTTGACCACCTTCACTTCTTTTTTTTTTTTTTACAACAACAACAACAAAAAAAAAGGTGATTTGTTTTGTCTTCAGATGGAATTTCATGTGTTTCAGTTTGCGCTTATTGTCTCTCGTCCTGTCAGTGGGCACCACTGAGTAGAGCCTGGCTCCGTCTTCTCCACACCCTCCCTCCCGTGAGGTATTAAAGCACATTGATAAGATAACCCCTGAACCTTCTCTTCTCCAGGCTGAACGGTCCCAGCTCTCTCAGCCTTTCCTCATACAAAAGATGCTCCAGGCCCTTAATCATCTTTGTGGCCCTGGGCTGCACTTCCTCCAGTAAGCTCTTATCTTTCTTGTCCTGGGGAGCCCAGCACTGGACACAGTACACCAGATGAGTGCTGAGTAAATAGGAAGGATCACCTCCCTTGACCTTCTGGCAACATTCTTCCTAATGCAGCGCAGGATGCTACTGACCTTCTTTGCCAGGAGGGTGCAATGCTGACTCATGGTCAGCTTGTTGTCCACCATGACTCCAAGGTCCTTCTCTGCAAAACCGCTTTTCATCTGGTTGATCCCAAGCATGTACTGCTGCACAGGGTTATTCCTCCCCAATAGCAAGACTTTGCATTTCCCATTGTTGAACTTAATGATATTCCCCTCTGCCCAATTCTCCAGCATATCCAGGTCCCTCCGAGTCTCACAGCTTAGCCATCAGTAAAGGGCACTTGAGGATTCCGTGACTCCACAAAATTAATCTCTCACTGCTTGAATGTGCCCTGAAGGTCTTTCCCCCAGCCCTCAAAAACATGCCAACTTCTCTACTAGTTTTGCTGTTATTTCCATGCAATCTCATAGAGTGAATTTTATACGTACTTTGTACCTTTGCCTTTTCTACACAATCTTTTGGAATACTCTACCTTTTTGACACAACTCACTTGTTTTGTTTGATTTGTATCAGAATAACTATAACTTTTACAATAAACAAGTCTTTGAACTAAATTTCATCTTATTAAAGAAAACAAGATGATCTGGTTATCAATATATTTTTTGGGAGATACAATTTAATTCTTAACTACTGACTTTTAATCTGACACACACTATAGAAAACCAGGTTGTAAGAAGTTAAGATGTTTCTGTAGCTTTATAAAGCAACTTACTTGTCCATCCCGATCTCCCATCATTGTCCTTGATCCGTCTCTCCTACAAACAGACAATTAAATTAAAATCAGACTGTGGTAGTAAAACATACAGCAGTCTATAAAAATCCATCAACGTGACAACACACACGAAAAAATCCTGCTTCCGTGTAGTGCCAACATTATCTACAAAAGGCACAAACAGCTGGAACACATGGAAACCATGACACACGTTGGATTCCTGGAAAACCCAGTTAGTCCTAAGGTATAAACCAGAATATTCTCGTTAAGATGCTAGGTGCCTACAATATTATTTAGAAAGTTTTCAGAATCCTACAAACATGTGAAACAGCATTGCAAGCAGAACACTCTGAACAAGCCTGCCAGAAGGCTTAACTCATGGCACAGTACAGAGCTCTTTGTGGTTGTATAAGAAAAAATCCACAGCCACTAAGCCACACAAAAAATAAAATGCAAACCAAACACACAGTAAAGGCAGCAAAATGTGACATTAAATGCATTTCTGTCTTTTGATTTCAGGCAACACAGTGGAGGTAAGACACCAACCTGTCTATTGAATGGTCTTGATAACGGCCACGATCCCTGTGATCAAAGTCATGGAAGCGATCCTGGCGACTGAAATCTGAATGGTACCTATCATTCATTGCCATTCGTTTTGCCTCTGGCCAGTATGGATCATCTCTTCTGAAAGAAAGAACATACTCATTTTAGTCAAGATAATGACTTTTGATATTGTTCCCTCCTTCCAAACTGTGCAAACTGGAAGAAGGATAATTAAGTTCAAAAGGGAGTTGAAAAACCTCAGAGAGGATAGTTTGACTGGGGCTATTAAACATGATCGTCTCAATGCAATCAACAAGTGCTGATTAATGGAAGCTGAGAGCATACGAATAACTTTTTATAGCACAGGCTGATGAGACAGAACCTGGCAGCAACGTTTCCCACTTGCAATATTTGGATTTGCTGGCGTTACCTGCCATCTATGTCATATGGTCTTCTCATTGCAGACCGACGTTCTTGTTCATAGCGCAGTTGCTCATGCTGGCGTCGCAGCTCTTCTCTTTCTCGCTGAATGCGATCTTGTTCTCTTCTCCTTTCATGCTCTATGTGCATTCGTTCTCTTTCCAGCCTTTCTCTTTCCATCCGTTCTCGTTCAAGACGCTGCCTCTCAATTTCCAGTCTCTCACGAGCAATCTCAAGCCTCTCCCTTTCTTCTCGTTCCCGGATAGTCTGCAGGTGCTGCTGTCTCTCCCGACGCTCACGTGTGCTATTTTAACAGAAACAAAAGGTTGCAGATCTAACACTTCAACAAATAAAGGAAGTTAAAAAGGAAAAAAAAAAAAGAAAAAGAAGAAAAAGAAGTATTAAAAATTAAAACCACAGTGACTGCAAACTTGCGTCAGCTCCTTGAAATTATACCTGGATGGGGTGGGAGGGAGGGCACGGAGGGAAGACAGACACTCAGCATACACATGAATTACTTGTATTTAATATGAGACTGATCATATTACTCCCACAAAACCCACCTGTGGGGGCAAAAAATCCTATATGGTCAGGAGAATTTGAATCCAAATGCCCCACAAAAAATAAATACCTGAATTAGGTTCTTCTCTTTCTAAAGAAATACAATGTGGAAACTTTGAAGGGCTGCTGGAAAATCTCCCAATTCCTCTATAGACACAATGTATTTAAATACAAAAATACTGATCTTGTTTTATTTCAAACACTGTGGAGACTTTGAATGCTATGACAAGAAAGAGAAGGTCTTACTCTGAGAAAGACAACTTTTCTCCTGGTCTTTCCCCGTATATTTGAGTGTGGCAAGTTTAGAATTACCATTTCACCTCTACTATAACGCATGCTCAGCTAAGGAGAGCAGCATACTTAAATCTATCTAAACCACAAAATCTACAAAATGGAAAAAGAACAAAAAATAAACTGCAATTTTTTTTTTCCAAACACAATTTCAAGCTTAGTATTAACAGAGTCCATAATTGGAGCTTTCCCAATTCAATAGATACGTGACCCACGAACATAACAAATTACAAGTAAAGAACAAATGAAACCCCTCTTTATCTCTTTGTCATTTTAATCAAAAGAAAATTATATTCATTCTAGGAAAAAAAAAAAATCAAAGAATTTCACTGTTGCTCTTACCGGCGCTGCTCTGCCTCCCTCATTTTTCGTTGTGCTTTAATTTTGTCAAATGGCACAATGCCTTGTCTCTCTCTGCTCCCTGATTTGCGATCCTGGCTCTTAATGCTCTGTATTTAACATTGAAGTAGAGAAACTGAATGGAGTACATTTATAAAAGGACAACTATCACAAACAATACTCTAAGCTCCGTTTCCATTCATACATACCAAGTCTCAAAGCTTGGTCCCCGCATTTTTCAAAAAAGCTGTTCTTTTTTTAACATTACAGACACACCATATATTAACCCAGTAATACTTACCTTCCCACATTTGCTTGGCAGGATTTCATTGCTGAATATGGTATCAGCCGTATGAAAGGCATTTTACTAATAAAGATCTAAATCCACATTATAGAAACTCTAATTGGACAAATTGGTAAGACAAGCGTGGGTTACATGTAGCTTGGTAGGATTCAGTATTTGTTTCTAAGGAAAACTGACACATAATGTTTCCTATGCAGAAACATTACTTACTCTGTCTTTTGATGCAGTTGATGTTTTCACACTAATAACAGGTTCTCCTTTGGATTTATCCATTACTACTGTTCTCTCTGTTCCTTTACTTCCTAAATAAATCAGAAATTGAGGGGAGAGAGATGGAAAAATGGATCAAACTACATAATCTACACCACTCATTGCTATGCCAGAAGTTATGTTCTCTAAAATGTGAAAACGGTCATTTAAAACTCTTTTCAAAAATCATTTTTTCGCTACACCTATTCCAAGTGTTCTGTTAAGGATGACACAATGTCAAACACCCCCCGGCCCCACCTCTTTATACCTTCTGGCTTTCCAACTAAGAACCGGAAATAATTCTAGAATATTGGCAGTTCTTTGGAAAGAACTACCTACAATTAATTATTCATACTTCACCGTATCTTTTACTCTATGAAAAAATGAATAGCCAAATTACCTGACTTAATAGTTTTAAGTTGATCTGATGAACCAGACTTCAGTTCATCTTTATCTTTTTTTTCCTTTTCATCTTTGTCTTCTGTCTTTTTAGGATCATCTTTTTGGTCAGATTTCTCATCCCTTTTAACACTGCCAGGTCTACAGATAGATATTGATATAGATTAGACTAATACAGAGTAAGAGAGAAGAAAACCAAAGGAGAATGCTAGCAACACAGTAACAAAGTAGAATTCTGATGTGATAAGACAGTCATAATTAGATTTCCAAAGATTTCCTTTTACAACTTCCTACGCCATAAAATAAGACAATCAGACCATGCTCTGCAGCTGCCATAAAAACTTGGCCGTGATTCAGATATCTCAACTGGAGGCAAAAGGAAAAATGTTGCATCACCATGTGCTTAATGACCAAAAAGTTTCTTACACAACTTGACAATTATGAAGTGCCAAAGTGAACCATTTTTGTCAGGCAACTAGATGAAATAAAGGCAAAAACTTCTCAGCAAATAGCATTTAATAGGAGTTATGCCTCAAGAAGATAATTAAAGGAAAGGACTCAGTATCTTATTCACTCTCACAGTGTCTTTTTCAGCTACTTTCAGTAATGCTATAGAGAAAAAGCACAGTGCTGAAGAGGAACATGTTCTGGAAACAGGATCTGGAACAACTGATCTTTAACTGTTTGTGACCACAACCACCTGAGAAAGCCCTATTCCAATGAGAGAAAAATTTAACGAAGACACAGTGACATACTGATCAAAATTCTCAAATGGCCTTTCCTATAGATTTGTGACATGAAAGCACCATAATCTTTACTAGACCCCAAATATAGCTAGATTAAAAGGTATGCTTGAAAATGCAACTTTCCAATGCCTACCTTAAAGCACATAACAGAAACATGTTAAGTTAGGCACTGAACATCAACAGAAGTTTATCTTTTAGTAAAAGTTGGAAAAATGCATCTATCACTTTTTTTGAATGTTTGCCACAGAAATTCTTACTGTAACTTTGTTTTTCATGACCAATCAACATAGACTGACAGACAGCAAAACACCTTTGGACACAGAATTTTTAGAACAGTACCTCTCACTGACTGTTTCTTTCTTTGCTTCATTCTCTTTTTTCTCACTTGGCTTCTTCCCAGAAGGTTCATTTTTTGCCTGAAATTTATTTTGCACATCATCAGCTGAGAATGTGGCCTCGATCATTTGTACAATCCGATGCTAATGGGATATCTTTGAGGATCAGTACTCACTTTTTCTACAGAAATTATTTTCCCATGTAACTCTGTTTTGTGGAGATGAGTAATACACTTTGTTGCTTCCTCGGCTGTAGACATCGTAACAAAGCCGTAACAGCGAGCACCAGGACTGCGAGCATTGGTGACCACTTTTGCACCTACCACCTTTCCAAAATAAAGAGGTATTACACTCACTCTAACAAATGCCTGCCATCTAACAGCAAGAAGTACAAGCTCCACTTCTACTCTCTTTTATTCCTGTCCACCATCATTCAGGAAACTTCTATTTTTAAGAGATTAACAAATACAAAAGGAGCATTGCGTGGAGCCAATCATGCTTCTGTTGCCAATGCAACATTGCAAAAGCTGAATCAATAGATGGGAGCCAAAGACTAAATTCTGTTCTGAAGAAAGCCTGGGGCGGGGGGGGAAGGAGGAAGAAAAAAGAAAAAAAGAGGCTAACTTTACATCAACAACATCATTTTGCTTAAGAAGAAAGGAGTAAAAACCTAACAAAAATTTGTAAGCCAATTTTCACCCACAGGCTAATGCTAGCTCAACTGCTAAGTCCCATCTCCCCTCGAAAAAATGTTTTCATGTCACTGGTAAGAGGCAGACCCACACTGTTATCTACAATCTTGTTTAAGAAACAGGAAGTTTCCCCAAAAAGTATCACTTGAAAAAGCCCACATAAAACACCTGTTTTCATAAATGGTGCTTACTTATGCCCACATATTCAATACAGCTCACTTTGTATTACAGAAATCAATCATATTTCACGGAAGTGTCATTATTTTAAAGTATAGCTGAATAAAGAACATACTTTTGAGCATTTAATTTATTGCAGAGATACATCTACTTCTAGGAAGCTTTGCCTCTGCTAATAGTCCAAAGAAAATAACAGTAATTTTATTTAAATGACTAAACGTTACCATGGCATCTAAGTAGAGGCAAATACTAGCTTGGCTGTTGCATAGTTTTTAATTACATTTAAAATTTTGTGGTACGTCTCTATGACGAACGTTCCAGGTTACCAGATGGAACAAATAAATGGAAGGAAAGTTTTACGTTTTTATTGTTGCAAGGAACGTTAAAAAGGTTTTACTATTCTTATGACTTTCAGACAAGCTCAAAGCTGTGCTACACTTAATCCATTTTTTGTACCTATTGTGAAGTCACATTTAAGTTCTACAGTATTTTCATTAGTTAAACATTCAATAGCAGATTGCTTTCTTTTACCACAATCTGCTGACAGTCATCTTTAAATAGGCTTCAAGGGTTTGACAAAAATCCTTACTGATGTCTCTGACATCAGTCTTCTATTAAACCAGCTCTTTCAACTTCCCAACTGACAGGGAGATTTAACTTGCCATTTCGTCTATCATTAATGACAACTGCAGGAACCAAACCAAACAACCTCCCCCCCCAAACTACCCAAACGAGTGCTTTTTAAAGCAACTGCCAACTCTAGACAAAAATAAAACTTCAGGTACCAAGGCAATTCTTAAGCTATTCCCCAATAATTATGTTTCAACATTTACTGTATGTTTTACTTAGTCCTAAGGAAGTCTTTAATAAGCACTGTTAAACTCACTGTTGACTGTGAATTTCAAATGGGTGAAGATACTATACTACAGCACAGAAGCGTACGTAAACAGTAATTGACTGTTTCAAATAAATGACCTTAAATGGAATTCTATTTGTGTTTGGAAGTGAGCGACAGAATAAAAAAGCAGTCATTCAGCATGTACTTTGGCAATTTCTTCCTTGATATCCCACAATATTTTTGATAATTGCATTCCTTTCACTGGTATTTTCAGTGACAGAAGCGCAAGAAGTCTTACTACGACAGTTTCAAGAGAAAAAAACCAAACCAACCCTTACCTTCCCATATTTGCTAAACAGATTCTTCAAATCTGTAGCTCTGGTAGTGGAAGCCAGTCCACTCACCCAAAAGTTTCTACCAGAACCGCTAGCAGTGCGACCTAATTAGGAAAACAAACAAACAAAACCAAAACATACCCCAAATCCTAATTATTTCAACAACTACTTCTGAATTTAAAAGGAGCAGTTCCACAAATCTTTTTAAATCATAGAGCAAATGAAATGCAATGCATAACATTCTCCCCCCATGATTCACACTCCTGAAGTCAAGTAGTATTACAAGTCCAAAAACTTTAAGATGGAACTACAAGCTTTGAGATGTGCAACAGAAGAATGTTGTCATTCTTCAAGACACTGGACTAGGGCATCTCTGAAGTAACCGTGGCTCTTTAGAATGTGCCTGGATACATGCCTGTAACTCTGCACTTACAGGAAAAGACAGAAGACCTGCTAGAGTTGCAGGAACTCTATGTTCTTAGTACCCATGTATGCTCATGTCTTGCCCTCCTTATCTCGACTCCAAAGGAATGATGATGGGATGCAGATTAACCATACCTCTCAAGCAAAGACATTCACCATAAAGAAAACAAGAAAATTTCTCTCCTATTTCTGCCCACACAGATTCCACAGTTGGGGTATGAAGCCTGTGACTTCAGTTACAGGAGTCAGAAAAGACCTAGCTTTCTTTAACTATGCAAGAACTACAGAACACCAGTCCAATTTGCCATCTAAACTAGAAAGATAAATTTTATAAATGCCTATGTACTTGTAAAATCTGAATACCCAACGTCTAGTGATTAATAAGCGTTCAAGCTGAACTCCAAGTTTTAGAGTTTGCATTTCAGCATGATGCACTTATGCAGGGATACTGTTTCCAGTCTCCTTCAAAATGTCTTTACTGTCCTTTTATCCATCTTGGTAGTGTTCAGTTCCAAGGCTTCAATGAATGAAGTGAAGGAGGTTTCAGTCCAGCTACCTGCTTCCAAACCATCTGCCTTTTTTGGGTTTTTTTGGTGATATATGGAATTTCTCAGAACTGCTTTCATCAAGGGGAGACATTTCTTCCAGAACCTTTCTAAAATGCTATTTTATTTGGGTGTCTTTCCATCTCTAACTTCCTGATAATTTTTGTCATTGTCTCAAACATGAGCTTAGCACTGAGAACATTGTTGTTAATATTTATACAAGTTCCCTAGGGAAGCCTGCAATCATTTGTGTCAATCTCTTTAAAAAAAGCAGAGGTCTTTTACATAAAGGGGACTAAGTCTACACTTCTCATTTTCTAGTTTCAAGAACCGCATGGACAAAGGTGTGTCATGCGTGCAAACACATGGGAGATACATTGTCTTGGTGTGTCAAAAAGCTGGGCTGTAGGCTTTGATGCTTTTACTCCACATCCTTCCTCTAGAATTTCAAAACAGCTACCTGCAGCTACACTGTCACTGGCATCCTGGAGAAAGAGAAAAATGAGCAGTTCTTTCTTCTATTTTACCCACAATTTTTTAGATTATTTAAACGATGTTAATGTCCTTTTTGAATAAGCTTTGATCAGTGTTAATATCTCCAGTTTTTGTCCTCCCATAAGACTTAAAGAGGTGCTCCTGCAATGGTACTGCACTTCCAAGACAAAAAAAGACTGGGACTATAACATCTTCTCTAACTTAGAAACTAGAATGATACAGGTATTGGGAGCCAACCCTCAACACTGGAAACATCTTTCAGACATGCGTAAATCGGCTGCCAAGTCCACCAGACTTATGAGCTCATAAATTTGTTTTTCTACAGTCTTATTAATACAGCTGTCATAATGAACACACGGAACATGGGAAACTCCTCATCCTAAATAAAATCCTTTCATACAGGTGTGGAAATAGCAATGTATGAGTCAGAACTGACTTGTATATAGTTCTGTACCTTTCTTCTGGCTCAACTCCTTTGCTCTGCATGCAGTGTGTTACATAACCAAGTAGCTACCTCTCCCCAGTGCTGTTTACTAAGCCAGAAAAAGATTTAAACAAATGTTATGGAACACAGCACATCCTTTGGAGGAAGGTATGCAGGGTCAAGGTTGTTATCAGACACCCAAGTTTCTGAAGGCTGTTTTGAATGCAAACTTCAAGAAGAGTTTTCCCAGTCCACAAAAAAATACACTCAAGTCCTTGGGTAAATGACAGCATGCACAAAACACTCCTTTAAATATTCCAAAGTAAGAGAACACAAGATTACAGACTGTAAGCAAGAGGTAAACAGACCCTAATGGAGCTGATGGTGAGGTCCAGTAGCTTGCATAGACAGGTATAAACCTGGATCTTGGAAAAAGCAGCTGACAGTGAGTTCAGTCTGTGTTGTAAAACCCAATTAAAACCAAACAACTTCTTCCTGTCCAGTCGGTAAACAGATCTCATGACGAGTGCCTATTATAGGAATTGCTGCAACTTCCACGCTTAGAGTGCTGAACTACCTGCCTGTAGCAGAAGAACGTTAACACTCAATTCTAGATTTTCTGCCCTGGTCAGGTAGGAAAGAATAGAGGTGGGGTGAGCTGCAAAGACTCAGCAGCCTGGTGCATTAAAAGGAAGAAGTATCATGAAAAGAAGGAGCAGGCTTCTGACACTGTTGATCAATAAATTTTCATCTTGCTTATGATGCATATTTGCACTGTAAATAGAATCTGCGTGGACAAAGATTCAATAACATCAATTTAATTCGAAGACAACGTTAAGCTGTAAGTTTCTGTAGCATTTAAATACGTGAATACTAGATTCCAAATTTCAGCAAAACAGAAGACGGTAACAAGCATCACAAGTGTATAGTAAAGCAAACACAATTGCGAAAGGCTCTTGACTCACTAACAGCTGTTGGTAAGCATCTTCAGTGCCATGAAGGACGTATTTGCCACGTATTAAAGTCTACCTTTGAAGAGCAGCATACAAACAAAAGGGTGCGACACAGATATCCTTAGAAAATGCATAAAAGGAAAATAGGATTTTTGGCAAAAATAGATTTTAAAAAATCCAGAAAGAGGTGAATAATTTATGATATTTAACAACTGCACAGATTCCAACGCTTTTCCACCAAAATACTCCATCCAATACAAAAACAGTTTCTCCAAGCAATCAGTAAAGCTCTGTTTTTGAAAAGAAACATACCTTTCTCATCCTTTGAGATTATCTTTGTATCTCTGTCCTCCTCAACAGGGCTAAAGACAAAACACCACATTATTCAAGTCAGAAAGAAAAGTGACTTACTATAAATTATGAAAAATGCTAAAATTAAATACCTACCAGAAAATATGTTGCAAACGAAAACACACCTTTGTATACTTGATTTAAGAAATCTGACAAGAAATAATGAAGTCAGATTCTTAAACAGACTTATATTAAGAAGACGTTTACAAATAAGAGTAATTTAAGAAAACAACCTT